TGGGAGCGGGGCCATTGGGGGGGCGGGGAGAGGGGGCGGTGCATAGCCCCCCCAACCCTCACTCCCAGTGCTGCCGCCAAGCACAATGCAGGCCAGGCCCAGTGGGAACAGCCTGGCGCATCCTTCCCCTCCCCCTCCCCCTGAGGATATAAGGGCCAGGGGCTGGCGGGCACAGGGGAGGGCGGGCTGCAGCTGTGGGCTGAAAGGCCATGCTGGGCTGTTCCTGCCAGGCCGGGCCCGCACTGTGCTTGGTGCGGATGGAGGTGGTGCTGGGAGTGGAGACACCCTGCCCCCATGGTCCTGTTCCCAGCGCTGCTGCTGCAGCTGCCCAGCCTAAGCACAGCCTGGCCAGGAAGAGCTCAGCGCTGCCCCAGCCACAGCCTGCCCCACGTACAGATCCAGGGGCATGCACCCCCTCCGTGCCCTTCCAGGCTGCACAACCCCGCCCTTTCCATGCCCCCTTGATGAGCTGCTCACAGCTCTGTCCCCCACCCTGCCCCAGCTGTGCAGGGCTTGCCCCTCCCTCACTGCCATTTGGTTGGGGGGAGGGGGGGTGTTGATCAAGGCCCCAGTGGTAAGGGAAGGAGTGGGGATAGGGCTGGGGCCTCGATCTTCCCCACTCCCGCCATGGCCTTTTCCCCTCCCCACAGACTTAGCTGCTGGGCAGGGGGTACATCTTCAGTTTATCTTAAAATGCAAAAGTGATCTCCAACCTGAAAAGGTTGGAGACCACTATTCTACATTTTGCATATGCCTGTGGCAACTAGACTACAAATTCATACAATGTACTTTTCACAGCATTACTGACAGTAACAATGTAAAACTGAAATCAGGCATTAAAGTTCCTGAAAAGTATTAGCTGCATAGCAAGATATATATTGAAGATTATATACCTGAAGATTAAATGTATTTATTTCTTTGCATTATGGTAATTCCTAGGTATCCCAGATGACATCAGAGACTCATTGCTCTAGACATCACAAAGAATCAAAGAGTTTCTGCTTTTAGGAGCTAAAACAAAACTAAAGGTTGACAGGAAGGAGGTAAAGCATAGAAACAGAGAGAATAATAACAATACACTGTAATGACATGATCTCTAATTTTTGGATAGGTTTTGTTGGGAGAATATTAAAAATATAGTTGGCTGCTAGTACACCAATATCATGCTAGCCAAATGTCTCATTGTTTCCTGGAACTCCCCCATCAATCTGTCTGTGTCCATCTGTTCATTCTCTTATGTTAAGACTGGCTTCTGGGAAAGGGAACACTTTTTTATTCTGGGTCTACAGAGCATTAACACAATGAGTCTTTGGGTCCATGACTAATGTCCCTAGGTGCTTTTGTCACTAATATCTGCAAATAGTATGTTAAATAGTAATAAGAATTTTCTATTTCTAGGCCTGTTTCCTTTAACAAGATGAGGTCACAACTAAGGAAGCATAAGGGTCTGGAGGTCAGCAAAGAGGAAAAATTATAAATTCCCTCATTATAATGTTACATCTATTTCTTAGGCATCTGAGCACTGTAACTAGAATAAAAACTAAAACAAAGCCCCCATACATAAACAGTTTAAGCCTGAGACAGTTTAATTTAAAATGTAAACTTGCTAAAATGGCTGATCAAAGTCTGCCGCACATAAAGAGTACCCTGAAATTATGTCTTAAAGTACAAAAAAATTAGCTCTAATGAACTGATAGAAAGGATGAATTCCACAGGGAGGTCCTTCTGCCTCCAATGTGTTCCATGTAACAGAACAGCACTTTCTATGGATAGGTCTACATTGCAGACTGCAATGCAATGCACAGATACTCAGCTAGCTGTGAATGAATTAGCTTGAGTACTGGAAGCTCTCTGGCCCTGGTAAAAGAGTTTTGTGGGGGATAGTTTATCTTGCCAAAAAACTAAATCAGATACCTCTCTATACTTGCACTTACAATCTGCAGATGCACTCTCAGTAAACTAGACAATTCAATCTTTTAGGGCCTTTGTACATGCCATAAAATTGGCCTTTAAAGAGGCTTAAATGCCCTTTTACACCGCTTTAATAGCATTGCTGTTTGCACGTTCAAGGGCATATTCTGCTTTAATGGTGTTCCTGTTTGCATGCTTGGTGGCGTATTCTGCTTTAAATGACTTCAGTACATAGCAAGATAAAACAACTCCGAGGTGTTTTAGTTTGCTACCTAACAGAGTGCAATAGTGCACAGGACATTGGAAGCTGATGTGCTCGGGGCTTGGCGAGCCCTGCACAGCTCAGGGGCTGTGAGACCCAGAGGTAGCCCATGCAGGCAGGTTCCACTGAAGGAAAAAAAAAAAAAGTGGCAAGGCTGATTTTTTTCCCCTCTCTGGAGCCTGCCTGCCTGAGCTGTGGAGGGGTCTGGTGCTTCCCTCCATGGCTGTGGGGACCCCCGGGTCAGGTGCCAGCAGGCAGGTGCCACCTGAAGGGCCCCCACGCAGCTCAGGGACCACTCAGCCCACTGGCAGTTTGCCCTCTTTCTTCCCCACCTCCTCCCCTGCCGAAGAGGCAGGTAAGGATCGGACCAAATTGAAGCAGTGTTTTTAAAAACCCACCGTTTCAATTTAGGGAGAATTAAACCTAATTAAACCCTCATGGAGTGTACAAGCAGCCTTAGAACCCAAGCAACAAACTGACCAGTAACAGGAGACAAGCATTTATTAGTATAAAAAGAATATAACATTGTGATTCATCTTGATTTGGAAGACATTTTTAAATAAAGTGTATTTCTCTAAGGTGACATGTAGAATGCTGACTTGCAGTTTGTTGACCTATCATCTACTGCAAGAGGCACTACAAGCTGAGTGCCCTATTGAATCAGATAGATTCTGTCAGCAGAGCTCTTCAGTTAATAAAAAGCTAAGAATGGATTAATTTGAATGCATTCTGAATAGTTCAGCCGAACTAGTCTTTATGGATACTGTAAAAAAGATTTAGTACTTTGCCTTCACTACAACATAAGAATTAAAAAAAAACCATTAAGACTCTACCCTGCAATTCACCCAGTTCAAATTAAACTTATGCCACTATTTCTAACACACACTGATTCTTCAATCATCTGCCTTCTGTAAATCATGATAACTCACAAAGAACAGATGAAAGGATGATGTATCTATGCACCAGTCTCTTGATGGGCTGACAGTTTGGTATAATAAGATGTGGTCAGAAAACAGATTTTTTTTTCAACCTGAATTGGGCCAAAGCCCAAACGAGAAAGTCATTTTGTTTGCATAAATGTGAAGTACTGCATTTTTTTTTCAAACCTTTTTTAAAGAAAAGATAAAGAATTGAAACAAAAAGCAGGTTACAAACAACCAAAAAAACCCAACACTTTCGAAAATTGCTTTTAGAATTAAATTAAGGTTTCTCAATTTTTTTAAAGCTTACCTTGGTCCTACTTCACATGCTTGAACGTAGAGACATAATTATACACAAAAGCTGTGATTACATCCGACTGTACTCTTCTCCTTGCACTCCTTTAGTGCAGGATGTTTTATTAGAGATTGTTTTGCATCATCTTGACACATAAATGACTTGGTGGATTTGATGGTCTGGGCTATCCCAGAAGCCAAACTATTTGATCATAATGGTCTTTCTGACCCCCAAAAATCTACAGATTCAAGATATGAGACACTGATTTCAGGAAATAATTCATATTTTGACATCATTTCTCCATGTGTCAAAGCATTTTCCATCAAAACTTTTGTTGACATTTTCTGACCACCCTTATTATATTTCATTCAGCACATCAGTGCTGATGAAATCCAGTGGGTATACAGTATCTGAACCAGACCTATCAGATTCCAAAGTATGTTCATTAAAATAGTTCCATCCCAATTGGAACAAAGATAAGTCTTAAATTCTATTTGAAACAGGTGATTAACTATGATGTAAGGTCAAGATCAGCTCAAAAAGTCTGATTTCATCAGCAGAATCTGAAATTTCCTGAAATAGGTCAGCATTATCATTCAGGATAGTGGCAACAATACATTCATGCTTGAAGGATGGTGATGACTGGGCAATGGGTCTTCTATTTTTCTATCCATTCCACCTTACTAGGAGACAGTTGATCAGTAATCTTCTCAGACCATGCTATTTTATCTCAGTCTTGTATCAGGGACAGCAGTAAAATACTCCACAGAATTTTTTCTACTCTGTTTTTTCACTCCATTCCATCCTCTTTATCAGAATCAGAGATCTGTTTGAGGGATTTGGTTCACTAGAGGCAGTTGCCCAAAAAAGGACAGAGGAAACACTACTACCACATTATCTTTGTGTACAATGCCTTTTAATAATTGCTATCACAGAACAGATTCACCTATGCTTCTGGTGAAATAACCTGAAAAACTGTCCAGTAAGAGATGGACTGTAGCCCCCCTAGGAATCAATGGAAACAATGAAGTGATTACTTTGTGGCAAAAAGCATTATGGCTGCTTACAGACATAAAAGGGTCATTTTAAACTTAGCGTGCTCCAACATCAAGTCCAGATCATGCCCAGAAGAGGTATTGTTAGTTAGACCTAGCTCACCTAACATCTGTATACATCAAGTGCTTTAGTGGGGCCCTTTTTGGTGATTCTCTCTAACAGCTGATTGAATCAGCTATTAGATAAAAGTGCCAAAAAGCCCCACTGAAGCAACCAACCTATACAGACGCTGCATAACTAGGTCAAACTAATGCACTGCTTTTTCCAGTAAAGTGCATTTTTGGTTTGTTTGTTTTTTTAACATCTGTAAGCAGCCTATGAAACCAATCTAGGCCAGGGGTTAGCAATCTATAACCTGTGAAGAGGTCCAGTCTAGCCTGAGGGATCAACAGCATGGAGCTCTGCCATTCTGTCCACCCCTTTGCCATGCTTCTGTCTGCTTGGAACCTGCTGCTCTGCTGCATCCACACTTCCCTTACTGCAGAGGGGTCAGGTTAGTGCAGGCAGCAGTGTTAGTGCAATGGGGTGAGGGGGAGGGGAGTGAAGACTTCTAGGTCACAGCTAGTTAGGCTGCAAGCTCCAGTCTTTACTGAAAAAGGTGATTGGACAGATTTTGCCTCTTTTATTTCAGTCTTCAGTATGTTCTTATCTTTCTAAATGAAATTACCTATTCTTGCATTTATAATAGATTATTTTAACATGCCTCAGAAATCATGGAAAAATATGTAAACATTTCATATAGTTAGTTATTAAACATGAGCTCTCTCTCTGCCAATGTGCAATACTTTCAATGAATCCGTACCTCTCCATATCTGTCCAGATTTTGTAGTTTATTAAAACTCCCACTGATTGAAACATCATCCAAGCCACAGAGAACTCTATTCATGCTTCCATCCTCAAACGATCGTTGTTTCTGTTTGGATCGGCAGACGTCTCCCTGTAACCACAGCATTGCTTGTTTCCTGTTAAATATTAAACCAGAAGTATAATTAGTTTCAACAATTTTTTTTGCAGACCAAACTAATGAGAAAACATGCAAGCAATCTTTAACTGAGAGTATTTTGGTCTTTTAAATATCTTCATAATCAAAACAGAAAATTATGTTATGTAACAAAAGAATACAACCTCTCTCCTATGGTAAATAAAGCTAGATTAGATAAAAATCTCTGTATGAGATTATGTGCATCATAAACCTAGAATCTGTCATTCTTCCAGCTATCCCTCACTCTTCAGAATTTTGTTTGTGTATCCTAATCATGGGGAAACAAAAAAAAAATCAGCAATACGCTATAGAAGACAATATTATTTTTTAAAGTATTTTAAAGCTATTTGTAATGTTTTTCGATTAAAGGCACAAACCAAAAACATGGTATTATTCATCTTTTATATATATACACAATTAATGTATGGTGATGTGGTGTTGTGTTGTGTATGGTATTATTAGCATGAGTGGTTTAATAAGAAGCAGTCATGCAATAACAGATATGCAGAGAAGGGGTGCAAAATCAAATTAAGGTAAACAGAACAGTGATATCAACTGTATAAGAGAATGATTTTTTGACGTGTTGGAGAAAAAAATGACAGCATTTAGCCACTGTCAGCATGTGTGGGCAGGGCAGGGCAGGTTTGTAGGCTGGAACAAGTTAAACTGCCTTAAATTCTTTAGGGAGGGGGCTGTTTTTCTCTTGTGTGAGCTCACAATGCTTAGCAAAATGGAGCCCCCATGGAAACTATAGAAGCGACCAAAAGACAATTATTAATAATACTGGGAAGCAGAGAGTAGACCATTATCAGCTAAGATATATCTGTTAACAGCTTCTCTCTTCATTTAGAACCAATGAGTAATGCCTTCTAATGGAATTTGGAAAAGGTCCAATATTGTAGTTAGATGACTAAGCACCACTCTTCAACCAAAGTTACCAGAAGAGTTCTTTCAAACCTGCTGAAACCCTCGATCAGCTGACTGTTAGCATTATAATGATGATTTTAAATTACATAAACACAAAGTTTAAGGAAATCATATTAGACGCTTCCTTAAGAGAAAACTTTCCATTGGTTACAAACAGGGTTCCAGTAATTTCCCAAACTACAAAGTTGGGTTGAGTGGGGAGAGAGCTGCTGAAAGAATGAGAATGATCAGATATGAAAATTGTCTCATTTCTGCATAGTTTTTCTCCTTATTTATAATAAATGGGAAGTGACATGTGACGATTCATAGAAGAGCATGTGTAAAAGTTCAGCAGAGCTTTAATTATTATTACAGCAGAACAGAGGGGAAAAATCCTCTCACAATCCAGCTGCATTTTCCTAGCAGAGGATGATGTTGCAGAAGAATGGAACCTCCTTTGAGAGTTTTCCCTGGATACGGCTCACATATTTTTTTCCCCACAACGCCATAGGGGACCTGATAAATGGAGCCAAGATTCATTCTATAAATAGTATCTGAGAGGTCCATTATGGCAAATGCTGCAAAGTTTTACAGTTTTGCTTACAGGAACTTCTTGGACAGACCTGTGGCCAAAGACTTTTAGACAGAATGAAACGAAGTAGACACAGTTATTTTTTTCTGCTCACACCAGATATGAAGTCCAATGGGATAAATGCCATTGCCTTGGAAGGCTCATTTTGGATACCAAAGTGAGATTAACAGAGAATACAGGAACTACACTTCTCTTTGGATAGCCGTCTAGATACGGTCCAGTCTGGGTGGTGAAGGGTGTCTCTACTTCAAGAAGTCTGATCCTTTCTGCAACTCAGCAGCAATGCTTTGGCTGTCTATCAAGTTCTGCTCTTGTTGTATTGTTGACCAGAGGATACTACTCTTCTCTTCATCCACTATATCTTGCATGTAAAGGTGAGGTTCCTATCATTTAGTATTGCCCATTAACTTTAATATTTGAAAGTCAACTTGAATTCCCAAGTAAGATGATGGAGCAGGTCCTCCATGAGTCCACTCCTCCACCCAATATATTATGTATGCTGCACAGCTATCGTAATTAGTTTTCACAAAATTATTATCAAGTTGATTTTCTTGACAGTTTGATGTTCAGAAAAGTAACTGTGAAATTATGTAATGTTTTTCCTTCTATCCGCATCATTTTCTACTAAGAAACTAAATAGCTTTTTACTTTAAACAGGGAACCATCATCAAATCCCCAAAGGTCAATAATCATCATGAAAGCATGTACAGAATTGAGCTGAAAACACCTTTCCTTTCTTATCAGACAACTCTGCTTCAGTTAATCATAAAGATCAATAACGTTCAACAGTAAGTCTGGTGGTAAAGGAAGGTCTAACAATGCAATTTAAAATAATTTCAATCTATGGAATAATAATCTGGTTTCATATGATTTTGGAAGAACAGCAAGAAAGTTTGGCTGACATGTTTTGTATGAGAAATTTGTACCTCTTGTCAGAAGCATGGAATACTTGTCAAATATTTGCCAGTTTGTCAGCATGTGTGAAAAATAATAATCTGGAGTGATATCTGGCCTGAGTCTTGTGGTTTCAAATAAATACTCATAAGTAGGAACACAACCTAAGAAATTTAATTCTTTACTTTTCTCAATTAGCCTCCCTTACTCACAGAGGAGCAAGGTATAGGAGAAAGAGTGACACTTTTGGCAATAACCCAAAAGTGTCTGGGTTATCTGCATATATTCTGAGAGAGAACAGCTCTTATTGGGTGGTTGGCTAATAAGTAAACACACCTGAAAGAATGTGTTCCTGAATAAAGTGAGGGAAGAAAATATCTAGTATAACTAAAGAATGACCTGAAATTGCATTGTTGTTGATATCAGCCAAGTTAACTCTGGGGAGAAACTTATGATTTTTTTTTTAAAAGGCACCGATTCATTCTGTGAATAGTATGCAAAAGATGGAGATGTCATGCACTCCACAAGAAGATGGAGCTGTAGTGCACTCTATACTCACGGAGTAAAACCACTGCTTTGCCTTGACAATTTCTACAATGACATTTCCCGCTGCCAAGACAAAAAAATATCTTACACCATAAAACCCCTAAAAATGAATGGAAGAAGCACAATTTAACTTAATACAATGAATACTGTACTAATTGAATTACTTATGCTTACAGCTATATTAACACCTACCATTTTAAAATTTCCCTATATTTACTCTACTTTCAATGTACCACAATGAAATATTGCAGGAACAAGGCCCCATGTCACAGAACTGAGGACTAACTTGAGTTCACATGTGAATAAAAACATGCCAGGCCATCATTTCCTTTGGGATGGAAAGAGAGAGGAATACCTATCCCCTGCCAGCTAAATTTGGGTACAGATGTGATGCACTGAGGGGAGAGAAGAGGAAGTGTTGATTCTCAGCAAACCAGGAGGGAGTGAAATCTTTCACTGAGCTCCTGAGGCAGACCTCTGATCTGTTACAGTATAAGTCATTTAAAAGATACCCATAGATAAGGTGGATAGCCACTGAAATTGTGCAACCTGTACTTACCATTGGTCAGTTCCCACTGATTTTAATATTAAAGACACTGCTTAAGCTGCTTGAAGTATGACAGTTAGGCCCCTTCTATATGTTACAGGTATCACATAATTAACTGGTTAATTGCACAATTAACTTGAGACCAGCCACACGTGCAAAGTAGCTATCACTCAATAGAAAACTCCAAACAGCTATAAAGCCACACCTCCTTCTCCCCCACACCCCATGCTAGATAAGGCCAGTGGAGGATCTGAGAACTGCCCATCCAGCCCAGTGGGGGAAAAGGTTGGGCAACACTGAGCTAGAAGGATCAAGTACTCACTTCACAGATTGGGCAATTTTAAGCCTGTCAAATGGTCCCACTGTGTGTAGCTTAAATTGTGCTAGGAGGTCACAGGTCCCTGGGAATCAGGGAGACATCAACCTATTTTGGCACCTCCACTGGGCTTATCCTAGACTAATTTTATGTACAATAATTCAACCTTTATTTATATAAAATGTCTTCTGTTAAAATCACACAAAAATCAACACATGGACCACAAATGCAGGTGTTGTTGTAAAAATGGAGGCAAATAATTACAAATAACATGTTTCTCTGACAAAAACCTCAGCTTTCCCCAGCTCTTGGAGGCTGTAGCTGAATAGATCAGAGATGCCTCAGGTGTTGCTAAGCAATGTCACACGCAAGACTTAAAATAAAGGAAACAAAGACACTAGACAATAATGATATTCTTGATGACAAAATAAAAAGATATACGCTTTGGCCATCACTGGTTTGTTATCTTCAAAAGCCTCCTTAAATATGTTGAAGTAAACTACGTACACAATTTAAGTTTCATATTCAGATTCTGAATCAGCCTTAATAAAGCTAATTTTCTCTCAAACAATATATTGTAGAAGTTGTTTTATTTATTTATTTATAAATCTTTTCAGAAAAACCTCCTTTGTTTCTTCCTGCATTGTGTTGAACTCACTGGACACGAGACAAAATAAACTGTACCAGTTAAATCCTTTTCCTTACGTACTAGAACTCATGAGAGAGTGAAGGGGGGTTGGAAACCCATGAAGATAATTTATGTTTTCTGCTGCAGTTGAAGGATTTTTATCTTGTATGTTACCTGTACCAAAACACTTTATAGACGAGTACAATAGTCACAGTAAGTACAGAAGTTATTGCTAATAATATATAATAGTTTTTAAGCAGGTCTGTACTGTATACAATATTTACTCAAATAGAAGACGATCTTGATTATAAATCAACCCCCCAATAATAAGATTCCATATATGGAAAATTTATAAATTTGTTATAATTTTCCAAGTACAGATTCTAATCATTGGAGGTTTGTCTTGAATTTGTCCCCCTACCACTGCTACAGCAGGGAAAATAAGTCTGGGGTGTCAGGTGGCCCTTTGCTTTCTGGTTCCCCATAACTTTTTCCTGGGGCAGCCCCTTCCCCCTCTCCTTACTGTCAGACCCTGCTCTCCCTGAGCATATGGAAGTGTGGAGCAAATTTAAAAACAATAAGCCTGACATTAAACAAGGCTGTAGCAATGTGCATATTACCACCAAGGAGGAGTTCTCAGCACTTGTCCATACCTGCAGGGAGCGGATCAGTAAAGCCAAGGCTGCAACCGAGCTCCATCTGGCTTCACATATCAAAGATAACAAAAAGTCCTTTTTCAGACATATAGGGAGTCAGAAAAAAGCAGGGGTAATACTGGACCCCTGCTGAAACAAGTGGGACAGCTCATAACCGACACCCAAGAAAAGGCCAACCTGCTTAATGGGTACTTCGGGTTGGTCTTTCATCAGTCCAATGGGACTGCCTTGCCTAGCAAGACACGGGACAGCCAGGGTGTGGGTATATTTATACCCAGCATCAGTGTTAATCTAGTAAAGGATCACCTTGAGAGGCTGGGCACCTTCAAGTCAGCAGGTCTTGACAGACTACACCTAGGGTACTCAAGGAGCTGGCAGGTGTCATAGCCCAACCACTGGCAAAAATATTCAAAAACTTGTGGCGCTCATGTGAAGTACCTGAAGACTGGAAGAAGGCCAATGTGGTACCCATCTTCAAGAAAGGGCGGAAAGTAGATCCCAGGAATTACAGGCCAATCATCTTGACCTCCATCCCCGGTATGATTCTGGAGAAAATTATCAAGGAGACCCTTCTGGATAAACTGGCTGAGGGCAGCATCCTGAGGGATAGCCAGCACAGGTTTGTCGCAGGTAGGTCTTGCCTGACCAATCTCATCTCCTTCTATGACCAGGTGATGTGTCACCTGGATAAGGGAGAAGAGATTGACATCATATATCTGGACTTTAAAAAAGCCTTTGATCTGGTGTCCCATGACCTCCTCATGGAAAAATTGGCCAACTGTGGCCTCGGCTACACCACAGTCCGATGGCTGGGAAACTGGCTCTGAGGTTGGACCCAGAGAGTAGTGGTTGATGGTAGTGAATCATTATGGCGCGCCGTGACCAGTGGCGTCTCCCAAGGCTCTGTCCATGGACCAGTTTTCTTTAGTGCCTTTATCAACTATGTGGACATTGGTGTCAGAAGGGCACTGGCTATGTTTGCTGATGACACTAAACTTTAGGGCATAGCATCCACACCTGCATACAGGTTAGTGATGCAGGCTGACTTGAATAAACTTAGTAAGTGGGCGGATACTAATCTGATGATGTTCAATACTGATAAATGTAAGGTATTACACCTTGGGGAAAAAACCCCGCAGCATGCGTATGGGCTTAGGGCAAGTACTACGCTTGCTAGCACCACTGCTGAAAGAGCCTTGGAGGTCATGATTGACCACAAGATGAACAGGAGCCACCAATGCAATGTTGCAGCTGGCAAAGCAAACCAAACTCTGGTTTGCATCCATAGATGCTTCTCAAATAAATCTCAGGATGTCATCCTCCTGCTGTACTCAGCCTTGGTGAGGCTGCAGCTGGAGTACTGCATCCAATTCTGGGCTCCGCAATTCAAGAAGGATGTCAAGAAGCTTGAGAGAGTCCAGAGGAGAGCCACGCGCATGATCAGAGGGCAAGAGAACAGGCCTTATGAAGACAGGCTGAGAGCTATGGGACTCTTCAGTCTGGAAAAGTGCAGGCTCAGGGGGGACCTGGTGGCTGCTTGTAAGTACATAAGGGGTGTACATCACAATCTGGGAAAACATCTGTTCACCAGAGTGCCCCAAGGAAAAACAAGGACCAGCGGTCATAAACTCATACAAGACAGTTTTAGGCTGGACATAAAAAAAAAATTATTTACAGTTCGAGCTCCCAAGACCTAGAATAGACTCCCTCCAGAAGTGATGCAGACACCTACTCTGGACTCATTCAAGAAACGCTTGGATGCTTATCTTCCTGGAGTCCTTTGACCCTAGCTGACTTCCTGCCCCTGGGGCAGGGGGCTGGACTTGATGATCTTCAAGGTCCCTTCCAGCCCTAACGTCTATGAATATACTACCTATGCACCTAGTTTATCCAGAATTGATGCATGGTACCATTTTTTTTTTAAACTGATGCAAGTTTTAGCACAGATACTCCATAAACACACTTTTAAGTAGCACTTTAGCACCTACTTAGAGATGATACAAACTATGCATGATATTATTCCAAAGCCAAAAGCCTTATGATTAACTGTATAATTCATTAGGCTGGGCCCCACCATAGTCAACAGCATTTCAAGCCATGGTGACTGCCCAGCCGAGCACTACTCAGTATGTGTGTGTACTCCAGATACCCCCAACAAAGGATCCATGTGCTAATTAGCGCCCCCCCATGACTGGAATTGGGTGTTCTTGTCACAAGTCCTGGGATGCTCCAAAAATGTATATGCAGATTTGGTGCAGGGCAACCTGGTCTAACCTTAATGGACTCTCGACATTGACTTTAATGAACAAGCTATAAAGCTATCTGCCAGGGGACCTAGACATATGCTATTTTCACTGCACAACAGGTACTGAAGAATGCTGCTGCCCAATTAAAATATTCCTGGCTTGATGTTCAAGGGGCAACTGTCCAAAGGGGATAAAAGCAGTGCAGGAGTTTGCCATGCCAGTACTTGCCAGTTAGGGGAGATTGAGAGCTATTGCTGGGAGTGGATCCTCTTCTGCTGTGCAATAAATACCCTGTCCCACCAACTGATGTATTGATGGACCAAGCAAGGTGGGGAGGGAAGGCATTCCCCTGCTTTTGTTTGACCCACCCTGTTCCCTATGCCTGTGTATTCCTCACAGAAGACGCAACTTTGTATTTTTATATGGTCTATTTTTTTATATGTTGTTTAAAATTGATCCTTCATGCAAAATATATTTGTTGCTACATCAATAAAATACTATTTGACATTCATCCTGTTTTGATAACCACAGGCTTACGTTCCCCAAAAATGATGTGCCTTTTGATCCCAAAAGTAAGAAGCGCCAGAGACTCCATAAAGTCCTTTAGAGACTTCACAATTGGTACTGATTTTACATGTAAGATGCTCTGATATTATAGTGATGGGGCAGCATGATAACATCCTAACAGATTAGATCAAAAGTGCTCAACCCTTAGGCTGCAGGCCAGATCCAGCCTGTGGAGCTGCTTCTTCTGACCCACTGATGTCCCCAAAGGAAATCTGAATGCAGGGGAGCAGTTGCAGCATTAACTGCCACTCCCCTGCTGCCATATTTCCAGACCTGTTGGGAGCTCTGCAAACTAAAACTATGGCCCTGCACAATAGATTAGGTTGGCATGTGGGCAGATCTAGGTGCACACGGTTAGGCTAACACGTTGGATTGTGCCCACAGACTGACCCCACATGGGATCAGGCCCACAGATTGACCCCATACTACTCATCTGGCCCCTGAGCCCAGAAGATTGGCTGCCACTGGATTAGATAGAATAGATAGATCAGGAAAGAAATGGACAAAAATGGTTAGGAGTAGTAGATCCTCTTCAATAACAAAAGATGCTGTACTTACTCTTCCAGAAAGTGTTGTTGGGGTCCTATAATAGAGCCTGGCCGACATATTCTTATCCAAGCAATGGCTTCAGCATGTGTGAACCTATAGTGTTTCATTATGTAACAGGCTATTAATGTTCCTGTTCTCCCCAAACCAGCTGCAAGAGGCAAAAGCATTGAAATAAATATTGATATACAAGCATACACATGCAATTCAACATTCTGAAATAGAAAATGCTTTCCCCCCTGGCATCACATCTCTGTAATTATATCACTTTATTAAAATTGTGATAAACTGTTAAACTAAAGTGCAGGAGAAAGTGGATAAAAGCGAATACTATTTTAATTTCCATCATTCCAGTTCAAATGTTTTAAAAAGAAAATAATTATAAACAAGATTTATAAAACATGAAAAGTTTAGCTAACACCCTATAATAAACTAGTAACTACAAGCAAAAAAATGTTTCTAAACATTTTTTTAGAATCATAGAATCATAGGGCTGGAAGGGACCCCAAAGGATCATTGGGTCCAGCCCCCTGCATGAGCAGGAAAACATCTGGGGTCAGGTGACCCCAGCCAGGTGACCATCCAGTCTTCTCTTGAAGACCTCTAGGGTAGATGATTGCACCACCTCTGGGGGGAGCTTGTTCCGCCGTCTGGACACCCCAGTTGCAAAGTTTTTCCTAATAGTCATCCTGAAACAATCTTCCAGGAGTTTGTGGCCGTTGTTTCTAGTTTTCCCCCAGGGCGCCCTGGTGAATAGTTGTTCACCAAGCCCCTGATGCACGCCTGTGATATAGTGGTAAGCCGCAATCAGGTCCCCTCTCAGCCTTCTTTTCTCTAGGCTGAAGAGTCCGAAATCCCTCAGCCTCTCCCTCATATGGCTTGCCATGCAAGTCTCTGATCATGTGGATGGACCTTCTCTGGACCCTCTCGAGCTTTAGCATGTCCTTGTTGAAGTGCGGCGCCCAGAACTGGATGCAATACTTCAGCTGCGGCCGCACCAATGTTGAGTAAAGCAGGAGAATCACTTCTTTGGTTTTACGGGAAATGCATCGATTGATGCATGCCAGAGTTTTATTGGCCCTAGCAGCTACTGCGTCACATTGACGGCTCATATTCATGCTGGGGTCTATTGTTACCCCCAGATCCCTTTCATTTGTAGTGCTGGTCAGGTTAGCGTTGCCCAGCCTGTAGGTCTGTTGGGGGTTCTTCATTCCCAGATGCAGCACTTTGCATTTCTCTGCGTTGAACCTCATCTGGTTCCGTTCTGCCCAACATGCCAACCTGTCTACGTCTGCTTGTATCTGCAGCCTATCTGCAGGTGTGTCCATGCAACCCCATATCTTGGTACTGTCCGCGAACTTTGCCAATGGGCTTTCCACCCCCCCATCCAGGTCATTGATGAAGATGTTAAACAGCACTGGGCCAAGTACTGACCCCTGGGGTCTGCCGCTGCCCAGATCTCACCAGGACGATACTGATCCATTCATTTGGACTCCTTGCATCCTACACCACAACCAGTTTCGCACCCACTTGACAGTTTAGATGAGGGTCAGTGTGCCTCCATTGCAAATTACCACCTATGTTCAGCAAACATTTAAACCTGGAAGTAACCATTCATGTGCTTAAATACTTGTAGGATTGGGTCCTGCATTAACTTTTCAGAATCATCATATATTAATATCCATGCAGTTTCTTATTAATATAATGTTAGCTAATGTGTATGACTAGTAACAAATACAAGCTGGCATATCTCTTCCCATCTCTGTAACTTAAAGCACTTTACAAACCTGTATAAACATAACATTCAGCCTGATTTTACAGAGGGGGAATATGGAGGCACAGAGAAGTTAAGTGTCTTGACCATGATAAAAGCAGGTTAGCAGTGGAGTAGGGATTTTCCCTATTCCTAACCTTGCACTCTATCCTAGCGTGTAATGTCTCACTTACAAAAAAGTCTGCTTCTCCAACAAAATACTTACAATAGTTTACAATGCAGAGACATCCAGTAGCTATTGTTCCTACATCAACCATAGTATTGTCAAAATTCATGAACTTTCACTTAACTAACAACTTTCAAATTTAATACAGAACAACAACCATTTACCTTAATCAAGGAACAGCATTCTTGCCATCCAACTTCTTGGAAAGTTAAGTAACCCCAAGCAAAGGGATAAAGGTTGGATCTCAAGAACAAAATAATATAATTTTTGTTTTATTATTTTCCTTGATTTGTGGAATTATTTAAACTGAAAGACAGAGTAGTGAAACCACTTATTTTACATGTGACCAGAGGAAAAGTCCAGTGATCTAATTTTATTAGACCAACTTTCCACCTCCCTTGCCTAAAAGTTTCAGTTTGTGGATACATAAACTATATTAGATGATCAAAAATAAATAGTTCAGTAAGTCATCAATGCAAGCTAAAAGAACAATGCTAGATAGCTGATGAAGACTGAACATGGTGTGGTCAAGATTAGGTACTCAATATTTACCATTTTTCCCAGGCTAAAGTGGTACGTGAAAAATTGTATTTAACATTTTAGAAAGTCATATTCCTCTGTCAAAATTCAAAAGTAGTACCCAGTCCTCGCCAGCTACTAGCCAACTCACATAAACATCAATGAGAATTTTTCACCAAACATAAGTAATAACAGTACTACAGTATAACCTCATAAATCTGGACATCAAAAATCCAGAATTCTTGAAAATCTGGCACATCGGAGACTAGTGGTGGCCGGTCCCAGAGCAGTGGAGGAGGAAGCTTGCACACGGCAGCTGCCCCCGCCACTCTGCATGTGGCTGCTGCTCCAGTACTGGTCACCACTACCCTCCCTCCCACGCCCCGGTCCGTGACCAGCTGCCACTCTAGCTTCAAAAATCCAGAATTTTCAAATTTCTGGCAGGTGCTCAGTCCCAAGCATGCTAGATTTATGAAGTTATACTATACTAAGCAATATTTTAAAAATGCATAGCACAGACTGGCAAATAATGAAAAATGTAGTATAGTGTAGAAAAATTTAATGTGGATTTTCAACTGATAAAAATAACCTGTACATTGTCAAAAACTCAAGGAAAATAATTTTCTAATTTGCAGTCCTCATTATTAGTGAAATGTATTCTTATTTTGTACTGCAAGCTTAGAAATATCTTGCTATATAATATGTTCACACACCTTTACAGTGCACAGCTACAGCTCCTTCAGCATTCTCACAGATGTTCAAGAAACGCTGCACTATGCTGTCACTTGGTGTGCTTCCATCTATGAAGAACAGGTCATAGTGCTCAAAACCAGCATCTGTAAAACGCTTTGCCTCATATATTTTTTTGTTTAACCTTATGATGGATGTGACATTGTGCTTCCTGAAATAGGGAAAGTAGGCTTCAGGTGCATGAAGAGGATAACCTAGAAAAAGCAAAACAAGAATATTTAAATGTTAATAAAAATCACTGAAAACTACCTTAATGACACCAAACTGAAACAAAAAAAACCTGCTAAACTCACTCATTTTTAGAATGAAAAGTTGATTATGCTTAACCTCTTTTACTGAACATAACAAAATAAATACTTCTAGATGCCAAAATATGTTGCACTATATAGAAATTGTTCAGACAACACTTTATTATGGTATTTATAAGCTTTCATGTGTCTATAAAAAACAGAATACATTGAAGCACATCACATCTTAGGTGTTGTTCGATGTTCTATGTTAAGTCATTTTAGCTTTACATCAATAGCCAACATCTCTACAGAATTGCTGTAAAGAAAGATTATAAGTATTAAAACAAAGCTTTTGTATGAACAAAGAATGCATCTAATGAAGCAGATGTTTATCTGTAGCCAAGCCACAGGTCAAGAGTCAAAGAAGAATTAAGCAAGCAAAAAGCGAGTTATAACAGAAAGAACATCATATCTAAGAACCTACCTTAATTGCGGTGGAAGTCCACAGCAAAGCGGCGCCTTCAAGCTTGCTCTTTAATGCTGGCCACTGAGGGCCTCCCCTCCACCGGCCGCTGAGTGGAGGAGAGACATTTAATGTTGCATTTTTTGAATCTCAGCCACTCAGTGTCAGGTAGGCACAGCAAAAAGAGTGAGATTAAAGGTGCTGCTGTTTCATGAACTTCCACCACAATTTAGGTAGGCCCCTAATCATACTGTCTAGAGCGTCTTGCTTTTATTCCAAAATATCTTTGAACAAGTTTTCTTTGTTTAAATAAGCAACCCGTTTTTAAATAAAACTAAAGCTGTAGCACTGCTGAATTCCTTTACACCAGTGCTTCTCAAATATTTTAGATTCATGACACCCATTGGAAAATGCCACCTCTTAGCTTTAATTCTTTTTTTTTTCATTCAGTTTTACACTGCAGAAAAGACAGTGTATTTACTCATATCCAAGACAAAGATTTTTCCCCCCGATTCAATGTGAGGAGAAAAGTCCCTCATCTTGGATTTGAGTACATAATTTGAGCTGCATAATTAGCTCCACAGTAAACATCTCAGTGTCTACATGTATGGCTCTATTAGGCCACAGTAAACTAATAAACTCTGCAGCAGGTTGATACTTGTAAATACAAGTACTGTCCTGCTGCAGAGTTCTTTTAGTGTGCAGCAACATACATATAGATGCTGACTTGGCTGGCTGAGGCACCAGGGTGTTTCAGTATGGGGGCTACCTGCTTACTAGCCTTGAACTGAAATGCCCTCATGCCTCAGCCAACCCCTCTGCAGCATGTTGAACCAGGCAAGAGCAGCCTCAGGCTGGCAGGTCAACCCCTGGGACGCCCTGCCAGCCAGGGCTGTTCCACCTTCTCTCAACATGGCGCAGTCTCAGGTGCACATTCAAACAGCATTCCTGGGAGCAATAAACTCCAGTATGATATGCACTGGAGTTTATTCCTTTACATTAATTGCACATGTAGATGCACCCACCATGAAGAGGACACGTGGGCTTTAGCATATCTTCACATCTAATGAACATGCCCAGGATCCCCAGGAGAATTTATTCTCCATTTGCTAGGATGTGTTAAAACCCCTGCTACTGTACAGGGGTGCACCAATAAAGATTTTCTTGGGCAATACCAAAGGCCAATTATTAAGCAGACATATCAGCCAATACTGATCTGGTAGCCGATTGACAGGAATGCAGCCCAGCAGGTTGGAGCAGCGTTTGTCTGGTAAGTCTGTGGGGGAGAAGAGGTGTGGGGACGGAAAGAGGCGTGGTCAGGGCAGATCAAGGTCCCCATGGTGAGGGAGGAAGTAAGGCAGGGGTAGGGGCAGGCACTGCCCAACCAGGGTGGTGAATATGACCCCAGGAGCGGAACAGAGCTGTGGGGCGCTCATCCGAGAGGCACGGTAGGTGGGAGCTGGCTCCCTGTTGTTGTGCACATCCCCAGGGGAGGCATGCATGGGGGCATGTGCCCCCCCCGGAATTGTGTGAGAGGCAAAAGCAGGCTGCCCACTGCGGACTTGAAGCCAGGGACTGAGTCAGGGCTGTGCTTGGGGCAGGTGGGGGTGGAGCATGCAGAGGCAGCACTGGGAGGGGTGGCTACAGGGAATTTTGGGATGGCTATAGTCCCCCCCCCAGCCACCCCTCCCAGAACTGCCAGTGCCTGCCCTACCCCCACTCACCCCAAGCACAGCTCTGGCCCAGCCACCCCATTGGGAAGAGGCTGGCACAGCCCCTGGCCCCAAGGCCACAGCCCGCCCTCGCCACACACGCAAAACTGGGGAAGCATATGCCCCGCATGCCTCCCCTGCAGATGCATGAAGTGGCAGGGAGCCATTGATCCCTCTCCACCGTCTCAGGCTCCCTGGACAAGCTGCCCGCAGCTCCATCTCACTCCCAGGATCAAATTCACTGCCCTGGCTGGGCAGCACCTGCCCCTGTCCACCTCCCTCATCATGGGGGCCTCTATCTGCTCCCTCATCATGGGGGCCTCTATCTGCCTCCCCACACCCCTCCCCCCCACAGAGTTACTGGCTGGACACTGCTCTCCAAGCTGCTGGGCTGCATTCTTGGCCACATGCTGTAGCCATGCACATGTACACAGCATTTATCAGTGACATTATCAGCTACACCAGTCAAAAAAAACTGATTGCCAATAATGTTAATTTTCCTTTTATCGGTGCCAATCCAATATGCCACTGATATCTTGGTACACCGAGCACTACCAGGAGTGACCAAAAATAACGGTCACAAGCTGGTAGAGGGTAGATTCAGACTAGACATCAGGAGGCGCTACTTCACAGTCAGGGCGGCTAGGATCTGTAACCAGCTTCCAAGAGAAGTGGTGCTGGCTCCTACCCTGGGGGTCTTTAAGAGGAGGCAAGATGAACACCTTGCTGGGGTCAGTTGACCCCAGTGCTCTTTCCTGCCATGGCAGGGGGTCAGACTTGATGATCTGTCAAGGTCCCTTCCGACCCTACAAACTATGAAACTACTACAGTATCTTCAAAACTATTCTGACCCATGCTAGGTAGATTAAACTAGGACAAGGTATCCTCAGATCTTTACTTTGCTACGTAGACACACCCTTATATGAACTGTAAGTCACAGGAGGCTTTTTCTTTTAACAAGAAGAAATTCATCCTGAGATGAATCTTCCACCAAAAGACATTAAGGATGGTCATATCTGGAATCTAAGGACATTTATACACACGCTCTGGGAGTGGGGGAGGGCACTTTAATTAGATCGGCTTTCAGAGCTGCTCTAATTAAAGCGCCCGGAGTGTCTCGTGTATCAGTGTCTCTGCGCTTCAAAATGGCAGCAGGGTCACTTTATCTAAAGCTTGTCAAACAAGTTTTAGATAAAGCACCCGTGCCACCAGTTCGAAGTGCAGGGATGCTGTTACACAAGGCATGGGAGGCTGCTGGAGCACAGTAATTACAACACATCAGCAGACTTGACTAATCAAGTTTGCTCCCACAAACTGGAATTACAACACGTCAGAGCAGCCTCCCTGCTTGTGTACAGCCACACTAAGAGTTGAAAACTTTTTTTATTATTATTCTTCCCAAGAGGAAACTGGAGCAGAAACCATGATTAGACAGAACCATAATTATTATCACTCTAAGAGAAAGACTTTTAACACAGACTGTAAACTTGCTTACATCACAGAATCTTTTCACATGGCCTTCAAGGACACTTTTACAAGACTATAAGACAGCCTTTATTGAGAAGTCAGAAATGGTACTGCCCACATACAGAGATTTTTGAGCCTTTCTGCAAGGGAAAGGTGGTCCTGATGGGCCTGAAGTACAAATGCATACTTATGGAATGTACCAGCCTGTGCAGTTCAGTGGACACTCCTCAGACCACTTCTTAGTGGTTCTCTGCATATTTGCACTCACGAAACAGTTTGCCAAGCAGTTCCTCATGAACAGATGTCATGACTTCATCATACTTCACTGGGGATTGACATACATGCTGTCCTAACAAACTGTGCGCCTGAACCAGACCTTGTATCTGAGGAATATTTTGCAAAGGCATTTACAATTCTTCATGTCACAGCCTTACAGATTTCAAGAAACTGGAACACTTCTTGGAAGTGTTAGAGAAATAGCTTTTACTCAAAGTATAGTTTAACTGCAATAAGATAAGGAATATGTATCTCTCCTCTATACACAATCTAATTCATCTAGATAGTGGCTGTGACAAGGCATCAGGACCCTTTATAGTTGTCTGCATGTAAAAGAGAGGGAGTTGCAAATTCCTTAGTCCTATTAAGGAAAGATAAAGCACTTTCAGTATCCAAACAAGGATCTTTGACTTCCCTATGTCAGTTTGAGGTCTAAAAAAGGAAAATGACTAAATTTTGATCAATGTAGAATTGAAAATCTTGAATATGAACAAAGCACAATCCATCTTTGTGCAAGTCAGTGAATGGTTGGTCTTCCATGAGAGAAAAATGTTCTACTTGTTATGAAAACCACTAAAACAGTTGGGTAGAACAGAATAAATTTGCTGTAGGCTCAAGCAGAGGCTTCATAAGTCACTATATCAAAACCTGTTACACTTCTAATAGCCTATACAGTTACATGCAGTGATAGAGGATCTAAACTGGGGTTGACTGGGGTCAACCTCCAGCTCGCGGGCCAAAAGGAGACAAATGGCCAAAAGGCTTGTAGACCAATAGCATCTGGCCTGTGAGACTCCCCATTGGCTGCCTTCTCCTTGCCAAATTCCCAAGCCCCATGCAGCCAGTCAGTTGGGTCATACCCCACCCAGAACCACAGGACCAAGTTATACTCCCTCCCCCACATGCGGCCAGGCCATGCCCCCTTTTCCTGCTGGCCTGTGCTGGGGCCAGGCTGCCCCCTGCCCCCTTCTGCATGGCTGGATGGTGCTCACTGCATCTGCCTGGGGTGCTGAATCAGGATGACTAGCTAGATCCAGCCTGCAGAT